TATATATATATATATATATATATATATATATATATATATATATATATATTATGTGTGTGTGTAAATTGATTGAGCGCAACCTTAAACCAATCACTTATCTAATCCATGGTTTTTAGTTCGGATTATAATTTTATTAAATGTTAAATTCATGTCAACCATCACACTTATCCTGGATTTCACTGCAATTTCTTATCATAGAAAAAAAAATACATATGAGACAACAAAACCATTCGCTTTAGTTTTCACTCATAAGTCTTGCTTGTGACTAAAACGTTAGGCTAAAAGAGTCAGCAATCTTTGACTAAAACGTTAGGCTAAAAGAATCAGCAATCTTGTAAAAGTCTGGTTTAAGAATGGTCCATCCTGATTCCGGTGTCTGTGCGTTGAGAGTGAATAAACGTCCACCACGAGCACCGCAAACCGCCACATTGTGCCGCCTAAACGAAGCGCTTTTTACCGCAAATTCCAACACATAGTACTTCACTTCCTTCACTTCATCTTCTCTTAATTTTGATCTTATCAGTGTTCCTTTAACGTCCGACCGTTTAACGGACCCTATAATCTTCTGAACAATGGCTTCTCCTACCTCCTCTGGACCTCCAAATGCTTCAATTCTACCAACAATTCAACAACTAAGATTTCATTCTTGATACCATTTCTTGATTTGGGTCACATGGATACAAGTGCCAAAACAATGTCAACTTTGACTTTTTAAGTCAAAGTTAACTCTACCACAAAATCGAATTTATAGGAAGTAAAAAATGTTTTAAGTGTGTTAAAAGACTGTTTTATAGGACTTAAACTTATAAAATGAGACAATTATGTTCTATGTAAAACTGTTGCATTGCGTTTTTGTTTGGCAGAGGTGTTAAGCACATGACTTACGAGAAATCGAGAGGAACAGGAGAGACAACGACGCTAACGTTGAGCTCACCACTTGACCCTGGTGGACCAAAGGCAACCACCGGTTCGTTTACATTCCTACGGCGGTTCAGCAGCGGCAGATCTAGCGATCTTTCCAGCTCTGCCTTCCCGGCTGCTCTATACAACAAGGTCTGATCTCCAACCCAATTTGCAGGGTATATAAATTCTGAGCATCATTGCAACACATCAACATTAAAACCAAATTTTGAAGTCAAAGAACTTCATTTCAACATCAAAATTGACACCAATTTATTAGATTTTAGAGAAAAAGTTTAAAATGGCATTAAGCGTTTTGAAAAATTCTACAAATTGAAAATTTTGGGTATGAATTTGACCCCAAAATTCATGTTAAATTTAAATTTGCAGTTCAACAAGTTTGACTCAAAAGTCAACATAGATAGGAACGTTGAACGAGGAGTTTATCTTCTATTTTTAAGTGTATGGTCCACAGGACTTGTTACCAACCAAATCCTTCTTCCGGTTTGATGCACCGGCTGAAACCTTTGATGGGATAAATCACATCAAGTTTGAGATTCCGGCCAGTTTCCGGCGACAATCCAAGAAGAAAACTCGTTGTACCGGCAAAGTTAGCACCGACGAAGACTAGAGAAGCTGAACCAATTCCAGTTAGAAGCCGCCGTCTGAATGCGGTTGCTAGCGGCAGGAATTGTTCGGCGGGTAAGTTGTTGGAAGGGATTGTAATCTCCGTCGAGTCATCTTTCCGGTCACCGGAATTTTGTTGGGTCATGTAAGTCCGGTAGGGAAAGTTGTGTTGAATGGCCATTTTTTCCGACTTTGTTTTATTGATTCAGGGTTTGAGCTAACCTTTATCTTGTGTTTGGCTTAGATTTTCGCATTTTGCATAGCAAATGATTTCACCCAACCATACCATGCCATGTCATTTCCACATTATTTTTCAGGAAAAAATAGAAAAAATTAGCTTCTATATAATAAAGAAAGAAAAATATTTACGTAATCTTATTATCATTTGTTTTATACTTTTATTAATAACTACAAATATATTCGTGTAATACAATAAGATACATCTTATTTTTAATATTTTTTATGGTCATATATATATATATATAAAGAGAGGG